CCTCACGGAAGTAATCTCACGTATATATAAGTATACGTATATACGAGCTTCTTATCGCAACAAGATTTTCTTTGTTACGACGAAATCGTGAGTCATGTTGCCTGAATTCGCGGATTTTATATCGGAAAGATAAAATCGATTATAAAAAAAAAAACTACTTATTATTGGAGTACCACCCGATCTATCATTTCTGATAAACACATTTCTGCATTATGTAGAATTAATCCCGAGACCCGCACGATCTTGCGAGGATCCGCCGTTGTACCTGAGGCTGCGAACGGGAAGACCCAAGGACAAAAAGATACCACGGTCGACACCAATTATGAGCTACGGCAAAAAGAAGCTGCGTCCCGAATACTGGTTCAGCGTGCCACGCAACAGGTAATTATCTTTCACATTCATTAATCTTTCGATCTCTCACTTATCGGATTTCTTATATGCGACTTGATACATATAACGCCAATATTGAAATCTCCCCGCCGTCAGACTATTTTAGTTTGTATTACGATTTACAAACTATAATTGTCGCCTAAACTTGACAAACTTTGCTATCTTGCGCGATGCCAAAACTCGAAACTATTATAACATTATAACTCAACGAGAATTCGAATGATGCTTATTTCCCTGTCGAAGACTCTCCTTTATGATAAGATTTATTACTCTGCATGTAAAACTTTATATTACAAAAAAAAAAGTTTATTATAAACAAATTTGGTCGTCGATGGAATGCGGCTTTCGGACATTAACATAACTCGATTCGCCTTCCGTTTCGTTTCTGCGGGATTATCGAGTTTGTGACAAACAGGAATTTTCGGAATTCGTGCATTCCTGAAATTTTATGCGTTAGGATATTGTATTTTTTTTTTTTTTTTTTTTTTTTTTAACGATCAAGTTGTCGTACGAAAAAACGAGTCGCAGGCGCCACGTTGTCCGCGATAAATCAACCGCTTGATCGTACGCGAATAGATATTCGTCGGTGACGTTTCTCGGCTGGAGACGCGCTGGTAAATTTCCTTCGGGCGAAAGCGCCCGCTATTTTTGGCTACGTACGGCCAAGCTTATACGCTTACACATCTTCTCGAAAGAATGGCAGGCCAGAGGAACGCGTTACGGGCCGGACACGTGCCTCGTCGCGAGACACGCAAAATAGATTTTCGCCGGATCCTCTATTTATAGGCTCGCTTCGATGCTCGATCAAGAGCATTTACCGACCACCAGTGTTCTTCTTCTTGTTGTACGTGTTTAAAAAAAAAAAAAGCATTTAAACTAACGAACACACTTTGTTTTGCACGTGTGCGGTATGAAAACTTAACGTAGGAAATCTGAAATAACGAGGATGTGTGCTACACGATTTTTCGAAATTCGCAATTTAGACGTCGGTCAGATTATGTTTGGATTCTTATTTCATTTTCGCTTCAATCGCTGTCATCGTATTTCGCATCTCGTAATAATACGAAATACGAAATGCGTGTTCTAACTTTGAAAGAGAAAAAAGAAAGAGAACGAGAGAAACATGTCTCGCATTGAAGGTTGTTGTTTAATTAAGATAATGATTCTTAGAATTTCGAAAACACCTTTCGTCCACATACATCATGATATCGTACAAATCTCGTTGACAGACATTTTTATGAGTGCCACTTGTTTACAAATATCACCGGTCATTTCCCAGTACCGCGATTGTATCGACCAATATATATATATATATATATATTAAGATCAGCTCGAGTGTTCGTCCAGATTAAGATCTATCAAGAGCGACCTCGTTTCGAATCAATCAATTTGAATTCTCGGTAATCGCTCTTATATCATCATCAGATAAATTATAAATTGACCAAAAATAATATTCTCATTAACGCTCGCTAAGTGTTACAAAAATAAAATATCGATACGCACGCGATTTTAGCGAGTGATAGTAATTTTTGGTTTTTTTTTTTTTTTTTTTCGTTGTTGTGCTACTTAATAATTTAAAAAAAAAATGTACACGCACGATGC